TGCAGGGGGGGGGTGTGGGGGGGGGGGGGGTCTCGTCCCCCCCGTGGCCGGCACCCGGTTTGTCAGCCGGCGCCGAAACCGTTTTTCCCCCCATCCTCCAAACGATTTCTCCGTTCTAGCCAAACGGCGTGTTCTTCGTGTGCCCGTTCCACCCACGTCTGGTCAGGGCTGCCGATTTTGAGCCGGGTGGCAGATTTTAAATGGCAGGTGTCAGTAACCAAGGGCGGAAAAAATTGACGTCTGGCAAAGTAGTTTTTCTTGGGTGAGGTGGGGTTACTGGTATTACCACAATGTATTGCCATCGCCTTCAACAGTACCATTTTCGGTTGATAGCACGGCTGTTGATTTGCACTCTGCCCGGGTCTCATTAAAACAAGGTGTGTGTGAACAAGGTACATGTGACTTTACACTGCTTGAATTTGAAACTGACATTTACGATGTTGGTATCGAGCATGCGAATGCTGCAAGTCTTAAACTGGCGATATTAACTGAATGTTGAAAAAAGTAAACCTCTGCTTATTAACAAAGGTGTAGTTTTTTCGAATGTGGAAAAAAGGTTGAAAGATTTTAAAAGAAATCAGAAAGAAGGTTTAACATTGCTTATGGTTCAGTAGCAGTAATAATATGAAAGCACTGCAACTGTGACTTTTTCCTGGAACAGTAGAGCTTCCGATTCACTGAAGTTAGTCTGAGAAGTCTGATCTACAGGCAGAGAGTATTTCTTAGATTGCTTTTTGCTCTCTTCGTGTGGTTAGACTACACAGAGGTGATGAAAGATTACCATTCCAAAACCAAACTCTGGTCTGTCAGTTGCGCAACTAAATATGAGAAATGTTGTGACTGGAGGTTAAGGATGTTTTTTAGCTGTTACAATACAACTTAGAAGTGGAAAGGATGAAGAAATGCTTGTAAAAGAAATTGTCTTAAATACAGCTAGGCTATTTCCTTCCTTTCTATTCTGGACTTCATATTAACAACGGATTTCATGCATGTGCTGTGAAGCGTTTGTGGCTGTGGATTTCTACAGGGACAGCTTACTAGTCCACAGTCTAGGTCCCTTTCATGTTCTACTTCAGGTCCTTTGCTTTCCTTGTCTTCTCACTTTTCTAAATTTCTTCCTCCTTGCAAAAATGAAGAAAAACTTTCCATTTTTGTTTAGATGGATGGATAATATCTGTGTGTTAGGTAAGCACTTTTGGGGGTATTGTATTATATAGGTAACTTCACAGAGTCAATACTTGATGGTTTTAGACTGGGCTGATGCTGACATTCTGGTTCAAAGTATTGCTTATGATGTTAGGTTTTTGGTTTGCTCCAGAACCTTCTAGATGTTTGGGGGGGTTTTTTTGGGTTTTTTTTCCTCCCTGACAGTATTTGTATGCTTCCAAAACATAAGAGTTGGTTACAGAGCTCCCTAGCTGGTATTTCTATTTCTAGAGTCATCTGTTACGTGGTTCAAATTGTACCCAGCTGAGTGTCAATGGAGGACTGAAATCCTTTGGCCTGCAGGCTGCTTCTAGGCCATATATAACTGTGATGGTCCCAGAAGTTTAATCTGCTATTTACAGTTAAAAATAGCAATATTGGTTCCTGGGCAGAACAGTGCACAGAGTTATCATGATGTGCCATTCACTGGAACTTGTAGTTGTGTCCGTCTGGATCTCAAAGCCATTTCTCAAAAGGTGGGAGTAGTAAATAGTATGCAAGTCAGGAAATTCACTAGACAAAAAGGCTTTGCCTTCAGAGACGTTTTTTCCCTGTGGTGGTTGCCTTGGACCCTAGTCCTGAACTGCAGGTTGTGAAAGTAGGACTGGTGTTTGTTTTGAGTTTACCTGTTGAGCTTCTCTTCTTTTGTAGTAAAAGAAGCTTCTCTGTCTTAGCAGCAGCAAAGAGAGGAGTATTTAAAATTAACCTTTTAGACATTGTAAAATAGATACATATTCTATAGCAGTAATCCAAAGGCATCTAGGTTTTGCTTGGATGAAAGCTTAGTAATCAGGTCAGAGAAAATATGTAATTGTGTGGTGCTGATCAAGATGAGGTATCTATTTTAAAGGTTACGGCACTTCGAACAGGAACTTTGCACTGAAAATACTTCTCCTTACAGGCACTTCCAAGGCTGCGTCTTTGCACTGGACAGGTGAGCGAGCTGTCAGTGTCCTCTTGCTGGGTCTCCTTCCTGCAGCCTACCTGTATCCTGGACCAGCCATGGACTATTCACTGGCTGCAGCCCTCACTCTCCATGGCCACTGGTAAGCACAATAGGTCCCTCAGAATTAAAAGTAAAGTCTGATAGTCAGGGTGGCTCCAAGCCTTAGGTCTTAAATCTGTATATGGCAGTAAGTTTACTGATTTATTTCCTGATCTAGTATAAAACACCTGGAAGGAGATGCAAACAAAGTCCTTACTCTCCAAATTCTGTGACAGTTGTGGTCTTTGACAAGACTAGTTGTACCTTGGTCTTCCTTTGTCACACTGTTCTCTCAGTCAGAAGGCAGGATACTTACTATTGTTAAGGAATCCATAAACATTCTGTAATGCTCTTCTACACAGTATCTTACCTTAGGAGGACTTCCTTGCCACTGGCTATGTAGAATCTTGGACATTTTTATCTTGTAGAAGAAACAATGTTATATGAACAGAGGGAACAGAAACAGGAGAGATCTATATAAAACAACTTGTTCTTCTAAGGTTCTGTGCTGTGGGCTAGTTTTGTACATCTCAAATGGTGGTGATATTCTGCATAATAAAGAGTTCATAGCAAATATTCCACTAAAGAAGCTGAGGCTTTGATCATTGTTTTCTTGATTCCTGGGAAATGGATGCTTGCTCATCTTCTTCTTAAGTGTAGTTCTGCTGTGATCTTTAATGTGAGTAGGAGTGGTTCCAGCTGCATGGTTGGCCTAACTAGCAACATTTACACTCTTGAGATGATGCTAGTCTGTAGTTCTTTGCCACAGGGATAAAGCAGATGAGCAACTTCACGGTGCTTTGGGATGCCATGTTTTCTTAAATCTCAGTTTTGCCCTTACAAAGTTGTACCAGGGATTCTTGCACTTTCTTACTTACTGTGACTGGGAGCTTCTTCCCAAAGCCCACAGATCCAGTACAGAGTTAATCTGAAATGTGGCTATCCTTGAACATATTTGGCAGAGCTCTTTCAAATATAAAATACGTAAAGCTAAGCTTGCCTGCCTTTGGAGCATTTCTTCACTTGTTTAGTATGTGCGTGTTCCTTAGGAAATCTTGTCCTAAAATATGTTGGAAATAGCGCTTTAGATACTTAAGTGGCTATCAGTCCAAACACTATCATAATAATAGACTCACTCAAGATACCTGAAGCCATATTTATCTTGTACTGGTTTTGCTGGCATGTAATAAAGATTTCTCTGGGCAGTGAACCTTCTGTGTTGTGAGGTAGATTGTATGTCTACCACACATCAGCTATTTCTCACCAATTCCCTTCCTTGTGCTCAGGGCCACTGGTCTTTTCCCATGAGGGCTTTGTGTGAATTAATTAGCGTGCTGTAAAGTCACACACCAGTTTTTCTGAGAAGTCGTAGCATGGCTCAGTCATATTGTGCCATGCAAAGAAAAGATCTTATGAAAATCCCTTATTAACACTACAGTTGAAGGGCAGCCTGTGAATCCCAAGTTGAGTATGCCTTATTTATCTGCACTTTGGAAGGCTTGAAGTATGGGTAAGTGCTGCTTGCACTTCTGACCTTATTCCACTGTCCAGTTGTAATAAATAGCTATAATAGTTTGAGAGTAGTTGCCTTTCAGACCGCTTCCACTTTCTGCTTCTCTTCTGTGTGTCCAGGGGTTCCTTGCACCCCTTTTCTTGCTTTTGACATCTTTATGGTATTAGGACACCATCTAAGTGAAACTGAGCTCAGTGTTCACTTGCAGTGGCATCTGCTGCAGGACTTTGAACCTTGCTAGGTCACTAGTGTGTCTTAATTTGTGGGACACAGGTCTTTCAGCTTCAGGCTAGATCAAGACAAAATCCTAGGAAGAAAACTGTTGCATTAAATACGGTTCTCTCTTTTACCAAGTTGACATCTGTCATTGCAAAAAGCAAATATAATAGTACTTTCAGGAAGAGAATCACATTAGGTTAATATCATACTCTGTCTTCCTATTGCTGGGTAGTTTAAATCTGGACAAGAGTTCACTTCCAGTCTGACAGATGTAGAAAAAAACCCAGAGTATGCTAATTTTTGGTTGTCACTATTTTCTAAGCTAAATATGCATCCTGGAGTCTTCTGTGCATTTG